CTCACCACCCACTTTACAGATGGCATGGTCAAGGGTCACTGATTCTACTGGGGTTTTCCATATCTGTTTGTTGACTGAGTTGTTCACTCATCCAACAAACATCCCCCGAGGCTGGGAGCTGTCGAGTTGGGCACTGGGCCCCACTCTGCCACCAACCTGCTCATGGGGGAGGCAGCAAGACCCCTCTTCTTGCTTCCTGGGAATTCCTACCCCAGTGTTTCCTCTCTGCTCCTCAACAAACACAACTTCCACTGGGTCTGTGCTCTATCGGGTTGTCTCTGAGAGGTACCCCGATCCCATCAGGACAAATCCAAAGGAGAGGGGACAGAGCCTGAGAACTGCTGACACTCTTCACCCGGGTCCTTGGGCAGCAGCCAGGGCACCTGGAGGGCAATGCCAGGCCTGATGCTGAGGCACCGTGTGCGTTCCACATGCTCTGGCTTCTGCCGCAGGGTGGGGATGGCTCCCCTAGGAGCACCTGTCACTGTCCCTCTGGAATTAGGAAAGAAGGCTGTACTTTGCATAGACGAAGAGGCCTAAGAACTTGGTGCTGGGAAAACATTTTTCACAAGGCTAAAATTTGCCAAAAAATCTGAGGGAGAGGGGCAGGGGTAGAGAAGCAAAGGGAAGAACAACAGAAGAAGAGAGGAGGGAGGGAGAAGACAGCAGAGAAGTGGGGAGGAGAAGGAAGGAGAGTTGGCACGCTATAAACCTGGGGGATCTGGCCATCCACTGATGTGCCACCAACCACCCCAAAGTGTAGTGGCTCAAAACAACTTCTTAGTATCTCCCGCAGTTCTTTGGGTTGACTGGGCTCAGCTGGGTGGTTCTCTTTTGTTGCTCAGGCAGTCAGTCGGATGGCAGCTGGGGCTATAGTCATCTGACAGCTCGAGTAGGTTGGATGTCCCAATGTGGCCCCATGACTTGAGTCTGGTGCCTCGGTGCTCCTGGCCCCTCTCCTCCACATGATGTCTCATCCCACAAGGCCTCTCCTTGTGGGCTTCTCACAGCACGGTGGTCTCAGGGTGGTCACACTTCTCATATGAAGGATGAGTTTGAAGAGGCAAGAAGTGAAGCCACCAGGCAGACTAAGGCTATGCTTGATCGTGGCACAATGTCACTTCTGCTATGTTTTACTGGTCAAAGAGGTGGAGAGCAGAGGGAGAAGGTTCTAGGCCCCACGCAGCTATACACACACACCATGTTGAGAACATGTAACTAACCAGCCACTTGACACACAGAATCTCACTGAATCTCATGCAATCCTATGAGATGTCCCTATTTACAGATGAGAAAACAGTGGCTCAAAGACAGGAAGTCACTTGCCAAGGTCACATAAGCTTGTCAGTGTTATGGTGGGACCCAGACCACGCATGTCTGGCCCACCACATGCTCCTGTTTCCCCTGGGGGGTCAAAGCTCATGTCAGCCCTCTTGGTTGCTCAAATACTGTATTTCACTCAGGCCCAGGCGAACATCTCTGTTCCAATGCAACCAAAAGGGTTTTCCACCATGTAGGCCACACCCTCTTCGTGGGGGAAGGAGGAGGAAGCAGAGAAAAAGGAATTCTCCCAGCAGCGGCTCTGTGGTCCTCCTAGCTAGCTGGACTGGTGCACACACTCTTTAGAAAAGTTTCACCTCTGATTTAGCATAACAAAACTTTTAATTTAGATGTTTTCATGTCTCTCTCCAAGTAAAAATAAGTTTAAAATAATGACTGTAATAAATGAAGGTAATTAATTGTAGTTTGTTCCTTTACTGTCTAGTCAGCTTAATTTTACCTTTTCAACTAATAATGAGAAAATAATTTTTGTGCTCGGAGGGTTAATGATATGTAACTGCGAGAACTGCTAATTGCATGTTGCAATCCATCCATCAACAACCCCATCTGTGCGACTTGATTATGTTTGCTAAATTATTGCTTTGAATTATCTTTCATAAAGCAACTTTTGTAATTAGCGGGGCTTTCGTCTTGCTCTTTTCTCTGTGCGCAAGGATATTCAAACTTTGGCCATTTCAAGCTGTCTCCATTAAGCCACCTTCTCCGGCTGTCTTTGTTTCCCTGAGCAGGGGAAATCAAAACTGTCCTTTAAGCAATCAAGGCAGAGAGAGGAGCTTCCTTGATTCACAGCAGGGCAAAATCACTTCCTCTCTGCCCCCTCCCACTGGCGCATACATACACACAAGGAAAAAAATACCCACATATATACGATACAAAAAGATAAAAAACACCCAGCTTCTGTATATACCAGAGCTGGTGAAGTGAAATTCAGAAATAAACTTGAACACAGTATATTTCGAGGAGAGGCCTGCATCGGGGAAGAAGGAACTACGGGTGTGATATTCAGCCCTGGTGTTTTATGGGCTAGTTTATGTGACTTGGGACGGTGCTGGCCCCAGGGAATACTTCCAGGAGGTGATTAATGCCCACTTGGGAATCCACAGCTCCAGCCTGGAGCCTGGCGGGTTGTGAGAGAGAAGCAGCATAAAGGATGAGCCCTCATTAAAAAAATTAAAATGAAAATCAAATTTGGATTATAAACGGCCTGTGCATGTGCAGCTTGTTCTGGATGACGAAGATGCTTTTTATTAACACCTTCCTTCGGCGGTGTCGCTCCCCCGAGGCGCAGGAAGGGACACGGCAGCCACAGGGCGCAGTCAATGGATCATGAGGAAAGCAGGGGGTTCGGGGATAAAATTCCAGACACATGTAGTCTTTTTGGTACATTACAAGGAGGATGGAAAGCCCTCTTAAGAAAATTAACAAAGTTTCCTAAAGATCCCCAGGTTTAAAACAGTGTCTATTCAACATGCAACATGGGTTTTTGAAATGAGAATTCAGCTTTGTCTTTTCTTTCAGCCCCACTAAGACTCCCTCTGCCCCAGTACTTATTGAGCACCAACTGTGCGCCAGACACAGTGACTGGCTCCAAGCTGCTTAGTTCTTTGAATCCTTACTGTTAGCCTCCTCCGCCAGAGGAAAGCTGAAGTTCAGAGAGAGGTTAAGGAACATCCCCGAGGCCACACAGCTGTTCAGGAGCAGGGCTGAGATTCCAGCCAGGCCTGCCTGAGTCCCACGTGCACAAGCTTTCCACCAGGCTGCACTCAGGCTTCTCCTGATCGTCAGCCGAACCTAACCTTTAACTTTCTCTGACTGAAAAGACAACGTAACTTCATGTCTGCTTCTTACAGGGAAAGAAAGCTCCTTTCTAAAAAGCCTTGAACATCTAGTTAAGAAAAAGGCAGATTCCAGCCCAGCTATAGTAGAGGCCAAATAAACCTGTATTGGAGGTCACTGACAATAAGAACAAAATAAATACCCAAGGCTTCTAATACACAAGCGGTGTTCTAAGCACTTTATCAGTGTGAATTTTGTTCTTCCTCAATCATACCCTGTGAAGTAGGTATAAATACTATCCCATTTTACAAGCGAGGAAACAGAGGCACAGAGAGGTTAAGTAACTCGCCTATGGTCACACAGCCAGTAAATGGCAGGGGTGGGATTCAAACCCAGGCTGGTCCCAGCATCTGTGCTCTTCATTCCCTAGCAAGCTCTGTGTGTGCCAAATGTTACATTAAACCCTTTTCTTGCATTCTATCTCGGTTAATCCTCAAAACAACACAAAGCTATCTGCAATTTCTTTATTCCCATTTAACAGATAGGGAAAATCGAGGCTCTAAGAGGCCAAGAAAAGCTCTGTTCACACCGACCCTAGCCAGGGAATGGCTGAGAATGTAACGCTCTCTACAGAACAGCTCAGTGCCTGTCTGTGGGCTGGCTGGAGCAACCAGCTGCTGGAGAGAGCATGTGCTGAGCACCTCCCGTGGGACCAGGAGTCGGCAGATGGGAACCTTTTTTTTTTTTTAAAAAAAAACAACAAAAACACAAAGCCATGAAAACATATCCCCAACATTATTGGTCTTCTTTTTGGTTTATTTTTTCTTGCCAGCCCAGGCAACTCACAACCAAATGAATCAATACTGGATGGCCCTATAAATAAATAAGCATGTCAGTCAGCTCAGTAATAAAATAAAGGCATGAAAAATATGGAAATCAGCGACATTTGTGTAAATCCACTTATCGTTTACTTTAATATAGCCTTATGCACTTATGCGGTTCCAAAGAGACAGATTTAAAGTAATGTGGCACTTGGTGGACGACAGACTTAAAGTGCCCCTCCTCCCCTTCCCCGTGAGCTCTGAGGAGGGCGAGTCCTTCTGGGAACCCGCCTGAGCCCAGGGAAGCCCGAGAAGAGCCCCCTCGAGATGGAACATTCAAGAAATGGCCTCTACTCCCACTCCTCTGACCCCTGTGATTCCAGTCACCTCCTAGCCTGTGCCAGCCAGGTAAGCGGACATTGTCCCAATCCTGGTTACAAAGTCAAGAAAAGAGAAACAGGGGAGGTTCTACCTCATCACAGGGCTCCGGAAAGGCAAGAGAAATGATTTGCCGAGGACAGCTCGGCTGCTGCCAAAGAAACCAGGGCCCAGTGGGTTGGCAGGAAAGCACGTGGACAGTGTGCATTTTGTACTCAAAGGGCAGGCTGGGGCAAAGATTTCTGATCAGGCTGGTAACTGCCAGGACTTATCTGCAAGGCTGCCTTAGAGGAGCAGAGCAGAGCAGAGCAGAGCAGAACGCCAAGGGAGGACAAAGGTCGCCTGGAACAAACCTGTGATTTTACAAATGGAAAATCAAGTCTCGAAGGTGAGGTGGGTTTGTTCAAGGTAACAGACGTTAGATATAGCAGAGCTGGTATGAGGTTGGGCAAAGTTGAGGGAGAGAGAGATATCTTGGGATCCGACCCTGGAATTCCACGTAACGCAAGAAAGAACCCATCCTCATCACTACACCACAGGAGTGGGACGCCAAAGGGAAGGGCAGTTGGGGCAGGGTAGCTTCTCCAATGCTTCCCGAGGCTGCTGGTTCCTCTGGCAATGCTAGGTGGGGTGGGAGGGGGAGCCAGGGTCCTTTTCTGACATGCTGTGGGCCTTGGGTCTTACCTCGGCTTGGAAGCTTTTTAATACAGGAGCCACCATCTCTCTGATTTCCTGAAAAAGAGACCAGCGAAGAGTTCACCATGGTGCCAGGTGGGACACCCCCATGGCCCCTGCTTGCAACTCACTGCTGTCCCAGCTCAGCGTGTCTAAGCATGTCCCATGGGACCTGCACTCTGTGGACTTTTACAAGGGACACACACACCGGGGTGCCAAGCCAAATCAGACTGGGAAACATCAAGTCCAAGAGGTTTTTCTTCCTGCAGGACGTTTCAGGACCTTTAATGCACGCTGGGAATTTTTGCAAGAGGGAGAGAGGAAGCAGTGGCAAAGTATATTATGAGTGGTCCTTCATAGGACATTCTTTGGAATGGGGGCTAGAGGGGTGGCCCTGACTCTTCACACTTAACTCTAAGTCATCAATGTCCCTTCATGAAAACCCTCTGTCCTTCAAGGTTGCCTGGGCTCTGGGCTGCCTTCTTTGGGTGGCACCTTTGGGTTCCTCCTTTGGGTGGCCTCTGCTACGCCACCCTGTGCCACCACACCAGCAAAGACTGCATTTTGCATTTTAGCAATGCCACTTGTGTACCTGACTCTCCTTGCTCACAGAACGTGCCATTTCTGGGAACTTGGCTGCCCTCCCCTTCAGCGCCCACCTCAGAAGAAGGGCCCTACAAGCGTCTGATTAACTCCATGGATGTGGGCTGCCTTCAGAAGGGAGGTTTGTCCTGGTCCCCACAAGCCTCCTAAGCCCCATGGGCTCTCCTGGCAAACTCCTATGAGTTCCTCTCTCTGGCATGCAAGAGGGAAGCCTTTTGGTTTTATTTCATTTTTTTGAGACAGTCTCGATCCGTCACCCAGGCTGGAATGCAGTGGTGTCATCATAGTTCACTGCAACCTCAAACTCCTGGGCTCAGGTGATCCTCCAGCCTTGGCCTCCCTAAGCATTAGGATTACAGGTGTGAGCCACTGCACCTGGCTGGGAAGCCTTTTAGAGCCATGTGCCCAAGATTCCAACCCTAATTCTCCAATTTCCTCTGAGTTCCACTGGTAACTCCCCAACCACAACCAGCCACATCCACAAGAAACCCCGAAGCGAGGGGAGCTGAGGGAGCAACCAAGAGGAGCAGGAAAGGAAGAGACGGGCTGGGGGCCACACAACGTTCACGTAAAGAGGAAACCCCCTTTTTATGAAAATAAGGCTTTGTTGCTTCTGCCCCTGGAAAAAGTCCCTCTTCTGGGCCCTGTGCATCTCTACTCACTGGGGATCTTCAGGAGGGACACAGGCGGTACACATAGACCTAGTGAACTTGATCACAAAGAGCCATAGGCACACGGCTGAGCAGTGGAAAAGGAAACAGGAGAATCTAGGTCACGGGTTGTGAACTGCAATGCTCGCCACGCCAGGCAGGAGTGGACAGGAGGGAGGCGGGCTGGGAGACACAAGCCCCCTTGAAGGAGCTGTATGTTCTGCTCTAGCTGATGCCTGAGCATGGGCAGTGTGCCCCTCTGGGTTGCAAGATCTACCAAATAGTCTCAAAAGATACTAGAAATCCACATTTCAGGTAAAATCTTCTGTAATGCTAAATGTTGGCACTTTACTGTAAACTTTGAAAGACTTTACAGACCAAATAACAAATCTGTCAGTAAGAGTCCAGGTTCAGGAGATGTTGGACAGGATGGGACCTTAGAAACCATCTACACCGTCCCCTGAGTTCACAGAAGGGAAAACTGAGGCCCCAAGAGGGGCTGGACTGCTCAAGGTCACACAGCAAGCAAGTGGCACAGCTAGAATTTGAACCCAGGTCACCAGACTCCCCAAACAGGCTCTTTTCATAAACCCACACTCAAGTAAGCTTAGGGGATTCAAATTTGAGTGCCACTGGCAGGGTAAAGGTTTTTTGGGGGCTTCAAGCTAATGCCAACTCTTTCTAGAAGCCCACCGCCCAGATGCCTACATTGCTGGGGGGCGCTGAGCAAAGGCACCAGCCAGAGAATGCTCTTAAATAAAGCCTTGGCGTGACTCTATCAGGAGAGACTAGTTCCAAAAATGAGAATTTTCAGAGGCACAACTATAATAGGAATGGAAACTTATTCCTTCTAATTACATAATTGCATAATTATGCAGTATTAAAATTATGTAAGCTGAACTCCGAGGCTTAAAACCTGGCCTGGATTTCCCTCATCACCTAGGGGTTCCCGCGTGGCCTGGGGAGGAAGCTCACTGGGCTGGGGGAGGGAGGACGAGATGGAGAGTCCAAGCTGACCAGAGAGGGGGCACGTGGGGCCATGAGGACCCAGGGCAGATCCACCTCTGCTTCCTGGGGAACAGAGAGTCAGAGGTGCCCTCATTCTGGGGAGAAAAATCAGTTTAGAGACCAAGCCATGCTCTGTTCTAAAGGGAAAGGAGGAGTCCTCAGCACAACCTATGGCTTCTTAGCTCTTGAAGTTCACACCAAAGACCTGGCTTGCCCTTCCTGAAGCCACAACATGGGAGACACTCCCCCATCTGAGATGCAAGCCTCTTTTCCATGCACACGCTGAGCCCTCAAACCTGAGCTTCCTTCTAGACTTGCTCCATGGAAAAATTCTAGCTAGATCCTAGTCCCCTCTCTTGCCTTCAAGAATCAGAGATATTCATGACTTGTATGAGAAGGGTTTTTCAGCTAAGAAACTGAGGCTGACTCGAAGGTGCAACTCGTCTGTGCTCACCCCTCCACCATGAGAGCCCTGGTGATTCGGACAGGCAGAGTGTAGCTGTTGGAACCAACATCTCCTATCTGAATGTCAAACCCTGCCCCACTCTCCTAACATCCAGCACACAGGAGCGGATAAGGACAGATGTTAACCTTCTGCCGGCCAGTGAGAAACACAGTTCACTTTGGGAGAGGTCTGGCCGTGGAGCCCTCTGATGTCTGTTTCCCACGATAGCTCTGATGTGCCACATCCCTGCCAACATTACATGGAGTCAGAGGGCTTTATTTCCCCTACTTGTGCTTATTCCCATCATTTTCCCCCCTTAATTCGAGAAGCAACAGGGGGGCCTGATAGAGAAGGGAAAGGAATTCACACACTGGCCCCCGTGCAGAACAGGAACATGTCTGTTCCTGCCTACTCCTCTGGGGGCCCCTGCGTTGCTGGGGCCTGGTCATTTTCTGGACCAGCCCAATGGCAGCCAGGAAAGACAAAGCTGGTTGCTGGAACTGCAAGGCAGGAGACAGAGGGAAGGATGAGGGGCGTATACAGGGCACGGACACAGGGCTCCAGAGATGGTGAGCGATGAAGACTGGAAGAGGGTGGCAGAGTATCTAGAGCAGCCCAGACACCAGTGGAAAAGCAGGATAAAATCAAGAACTCTAGACCAACTGTTTTTGCCACCAAGGCCAAGCACTTGACTTAGATATCAATGCGTGTACATAGGGCGGGGGGAAATGGACATGCCACAGTGCCCTCAAACACAGTGACTTTAATGGAGAAGCGTTCTGCCCTTCCTTTAGTTGGCACCACTGAGCGCCACTATACCAGGAAACATCAAAAGGTTGGGGGCTGTAATTTTTCTTTGGGGCTAATTAGCTTCTTTTCTTGTTAGTCACTTATGTCTACAGTTTGCAAAATATAGCTTGAACAGAGAAAAATCTGCATTCCTACTGAGTTAATTCTATAACAGCAAATATACTGTACCTCAGGTACATTTTTCTTAAATTCCCGGCGGAGTTCAATTAAATGTTTATGAGAATGTTCACTCTCCTCCTGCCGCGCAGACAGCTCGGAAGCGACGGAATTAAGCTCCTTCTGGAACAATAAAAAAAAGAGAGAGAGAAAAGAAAAAGATTTTTTTCCTCTTTTTCCTTTTTAATCATCGTTCAAAACAGCATTCTGAACAAGTTTTCTTAACTTACAAAGCTGAGAAAAGACAGGATATTGACTCCTGGCACAAATGAATAATTTACAAAACTGGAGATACTACCAAAAAAAGTCCAGGACAGCTTTTTTGCTCATTGGAAGTCAGGCCAGATCAATACTTTCCTATACAAAGTTGGGTGGAGCTGGGTTTTTTTTTCATCTCTTCCCCACCCCCTGCCCCACCTCTTAAATTTCCAAAGGAGTGATGGCATAAGCTTGTCAGTAACTGTAGAAAACATCTCCAAACCGTGTCAAAATAGTAAAGTGCGGCATATTGTATGGGCATATTATAGCGTAAGAAAGTGCTGTCGACAGCTTTCATATATCAGAGGTGGGAACTGTTCCAACTATGACTTACTTACACTTAAAGGTTCATAAATACGCCTTTTAAGATATAGATGGCTTTTTAATTTCAGTAGATTTTGGAAAAATGAAGGTGCCAATAAGAAGCAAGCTGACCTTTTGTGTATCCTGCAGTAAATCATCTAAGGTTCACTTCAAGTATAAGAAATACTTCATTGAAGACTCCAGGATTCAGAAGAAATGGATTGGAAGGCGCGCTCTGCCTGCTTGTGTGCAAGGAAGGCGGCAGACCAGGTTTTTATAGGACGTACCAGCGAGGAAGAAAAGAGAGAGGGAAGGAAGGGGGGATGCGCCGGCTCACACACACATAACAGACAATGTCTGCTGGTCGTACATACATAGTCGATCACCTCTCTCCAAGCTTTCTTCACTTTAACGGTGGCAGTTTCACACAGAGAGTACAATTTACCATGAGTTGTCATAGATTTCATTTGCATAATTCAAGAAATGCTCTGTTTATGTGGTCTGCTGCTTTCATGCACCATCTCGAGATGGGCTTTTTTTCTGGACCATAACTCGAGGAGCATTTCTGTATATATCACCCGATTATATTTGCAGCAATCAAGCCCCATAATTTCCTAAATCTGGTGATGCAATAAATTTCTGCAATCAGATTTATTAAAAACACACACGCAGATGCGGGAGTGTATTTCTAGGGTGAACTCTTTAATCTAACATATGTATGCTGAGGCCCAGCACTGCGCTGAAAGACCCCATTTGTCATCGCTAATACACATTCATCTTGCACACACAATGAAACACTTTTACCATTAGATAATGAAATAAAAGTACTATTAACCCGCTGCAAATCCTTTTCCCTCTAAGAGACGAAATGCATGGTAATTGTCTTATATCACATCTGAGAGTCGGTAAATCTGCTCAATAGCAGTTCACCATGGCACCATAAACCTGGGACCCCAAACCTGGGCCCTTTTGGAGAAATCCAGGAAAGAATTTCTATTTCTGGAGAAATGTCTAACCTCTCTGGAGAATCATGAGACTAGAAGGGAGAAGGTAAAGGCATCAAAGTAGCTAATTCAAACAGAGGCAAGAGAGCCGGTGCTCTCCAGGGTGCTGAAATCAGTTCTTGCCACAGCACAGGGGTACTTCCACTCAGAGGATTGGGGGGCTTCTAGACTAAAAGTCCCATGGAATTTTGAGCCAGGTGAGGCATTGATGCCTTGTTAGGCATCACGAGGAAAAAAAAGAGGAGACTTTGGTTTATTATTATTTAAAACTAATTGCAGTTTCCAATAAAGAAACCACAATTGACCATAACCAAAATAGTGAGCTACGACTAGAGAGAGATCAGTGTTTGCAGAAATAGACAAAGGTAGACAAAACCTAGCCAGTTGGTGCAGCCAGGTGGACAGAATCTCACTTGGCAGGAGACAGAGAGACGGGAGTGCCATGGTCAATTTGAGTTGTAGTGGAGTGCTCACAGTTTTTCTTAGTTTTTTTCATCTCTCTTGAAGACAAAGATGTGATTTTTACATTGCTGTAGGACAAACAGAACTGGGACTTGGGGAGTCATTCAGTTTTGGATTATCATGTATTAGATGCTATGTTCTTATCTTGGGGACACTATCTCCCCATACCACTGCAACCAATATATCTCGTGGGGGCTGGACTTTGACTCCTCATTAAAAACATTCAACCCAGGTTCTGAAAGGAAACCGCAGAGCAGGGTAAGCCCAACTGCCTGTTGTACTGTACCAGACAATCATGCTCGGCTCCCTCCACCCGCACCATGCACGCTGCTTGTAGGGGCAAATCACTCTCAGATGTGATATAGGACAATTACCATGCATTTCGTCTCTTAGAGGAAAAAGGATGTCTGCTGTGTCTACGCTGCAGTGAGGCCAGAGCCAGGCAAGGCAGGGGGACGTGAGTGTGCCCCCAGCCCCGGGCCCACTGCCAGCCCAGCCTTTCCTGCTTAGCCGTTGAGGAGCTGATGATGTCATTGATATCCATGTTCTTCTCAACTTTGCCTAAATCTATGCTCATCATTCAACCCTAAATTCTTGCCACATTTCTATGGTAAACACACTAACACCAATAATAATACTAGTAAATAATAGGCCGGGCATGGTGGCTCACGCCTGTAATCCTAGCACTCTGGGAGGCTGAGGCGGGCAGATTGCTCGAGGTCAGGAGTTCAAGCTCGAGGTCAGGAAACCAGCCTGAGCAAGAGCAAGACCCCGTCTCTACTATCAACAGAAAGAAATTAATTTGCCAATTAATATATATATAGAAAAAAATAGCCGGGCATGGTAGCGCGTGCCTGTAGTCCCAGCTATTTGGGAGGCTGAGGCAGCAGGATTGCTTGAGCCCAGGAGTTTGAGGTTGCTGTGAGCTAGGCTGACGCCACGACACTCACTCTAGCCTGGGCAACAAAGTGAGACTTTGTCTCAAAAAAAAAAAAATACTGGTAAATAATAATAACCATAGCTACCATTTATGGAGTGCTTGCATGTGCCACGCACCAGGCTAAACTAAGCTCCTAACATATATCACCTCATGGAACAAACACATTAATGTGTCTGTAAGGTGATTCAAGCAGGGACTCAGAAATAAATTATAGTCAATTCGAATAATTGAGGTGTGGATTATCTCCTTGGTGGATTATAAAGGCAAATTTTTAATGCCCTCCTCTTCAGCAGGGTTCTGCTCCACTTCTTCATTAGCTGGGGGGTGTTTAGGGAGCTGGTTTTAAATGATATAAATGTGTAAAGCATCAAGCACAGTACCAAGTGTTCAATAAAAATGGGCTAATATTAATCTTATATTCAGATAAACAGAGAGCTCAGAAAACACCCCACTGGATCAATGATTCCAAGAATTCTGGATTTCACAAGTCAGTAAAAATTTTACTTAAAAAAAGACAGATGATTGTCAAATGTTACTGTATCAAGCAAAGACAGTAAAAACCACTCCCTCCCGCCCTAAAAGAAAGTATATTTGATCATTAACAAAGCAAGAGGGTCAATGATCACATCAAGGGTCTTTTAAAATAAACACATCTAAAATTAAAAAGCTCATGGCACTGTATTTTGAAGGAACAGCAAAAAAATACTGTCATAAACATAAACAATCATGGGACTGAGTCGATTTAGAAACTTGTGTCCAAACCACCACACATGCAGCTCGCAGGGCCTCTCCTTTGATAATCAAGCAGAACTCGGCATCCTCTTCCACCTGGCCCTGTGGCCCCCGGCCCTGGGGGAGTCGTGATTAACACAGCCCCAGACTTTGGGCCAGGCCCAGGCAGGGAGGAGACTCATCTGATTAACCGGCCATCAGCAGCAGACAGACAGCCCGGAGCCCGGCGCAGACCATTCAAATAATGATCATCATAAACAGCCCATTTGCAACTAAAAAGAAATAATTTTAATGAGCTTGAAGCAGATGATAGATGCAGCTGAGGCTCGGGCCAATGTGCAGGGAGAAAGGAAGCTGGGGCTGAGCTGCACGCAAGCCCAGGCGCTGCAGGAAGCAGCCGGGGCTCGGGGGAAGGAAGAGGCTTCTTCTGATGGCATCTGCAGGCCTCCCTGGAAGTGCCCACCATCCTGCGAGTGCCCCTAGCTCCAAGAGGGTCTGCCATCACTGTGCTGGCCAATCCTGGCACTTAGACTTCCAAGACATTCAGAACCTATGAGCCAGAAGGAATCCTCAAGGTCACCCAGGTCACTGCTGTCCAACTTTGACAAGTTCCTCTGCATGAATTCTGTCATACTGAAACTTAATTATTTATCTTCAAATTGACCCCCATTGTTTTATTTTTGATTGAGAGACGCATAGCTTTAAGTTTAATGTTAAGCTTAATGAATTTTTATACCCAAATAACTGCTGCCCAGATCAAGATGTCAAATGTTCACACTCCAAGTGCCTGAGTGAGATCCCTTGTGTCCCCCCTCCTGGCCAGAACCCCCTAAAAGTAACCATTATTCTAGGCCTAGCATCACAGATAAAATTTGCCTGTTCTTGACCTTCATATAACGTCTCACCCCCTTTTTAACCTAAGTAAGTACATTTGAAAAGGACACTTTGTTTTTTGTCACTAGAGAATCAGGTACCATAAACAGACGGTAGCTATTAAAATTAAAGTACAATGGAAACAAAGCATGGCCGTCTGATTTGTTATAAAAGGCTAGCAAGTGCTGGAGGGATGTTAAAGAGAATGTAGTACCCAACAGAGACTTTCTGCGTGTTGGAATGAGAAGGGATAAAAGAGAACTGAGAAGGGACAATTGTTCCTCACGACCCGAGCCAATTCCTTCTAACACCAGATCTACTTACTGCTTTCAATCTCACATCCCATCAGTGACTATGTGCCCCACATTTTAGCAAACACTCACTGTACCTGATTCTCTATCCATTCATTCACTCATTGCTTTAAAAGATGGGTCTTGCTCTGTTGCCCAGGCTGGAGTGCAGTGGCACAATCCTAGCTCACTGTAACCTCAAATTTCTGGGCTCAAAAATCCTCCCACCTCCGCCTTCTTAGTAGCTGCAATTACAGGCAC